TATATGTAGTATAGGCGGCTACAGAGTATCTTGGTTTACATTTTTGGTTGGTGGTGTGCCGCGTGATTTTTTCAATTAAAAAAGTGTACCTTGGCTCAAAAGAGGTTGAAAAACACTGCTCTAGAATACATTTCAGGTGGTTAGGTAAACTTTAAAAAGGGTCTTCAACAAAAGACACATTTCTAAGTCAATAACTTACAGTTTCTTAAAAAGTCAGTGGACCTAAAAATCAAGCAAAACTTTAACTTAAAAATATTTAAGACTTTAAGCATTTAATTTTATTAAAAGTTTGTTTGTACGTTTCAGATTGCTCCATTTGTCTGTCTTTTAAGATTTGTGATCTAAGTAAATGTATTGTAGAAACAAAAAAAAAACTCTTTATTTGGAGGCTTGTTTGCTGAATTACGGCAATGTTTGGCAAATTAAAACGTTCCAAAGGTTGTTACCTTGTTGGTCAGATTTGATTAACTATTTTGGTATTAATTCTGGTTCTTGAGTTAGAGGTGAATCCACATGAATTAATAGGCAATTATTCACATCCCAGGAGAATTTAGACTTAAAATTTCCATTAAAAAAAAATAAATAAATAAAAATTCTCGTTATAGAAATTGAGGCATCTGTCAAGATGATAAAACAATTTCTTAAAAAAGCATAAATTTACATCTCTTCACAATAATCAATTTTAAAAAAAATCTTTGCGACATTAAAGCAATAAAACCCTTCTTAGAAATTGCCGATCATCTTTTTGCATGTTCCTGCTGGAGTTTGGATGATTTAGATTAGTTGAAAAGCCTCCTTGCCATCACCCTAATCTTTAGCTTGTTCCCAACTTTCTTTATCGGAGTCAAGTCAACGCTCTAGCGAGGCCACTTCAACGGGTTAATATTACTTCCAGTCAGAAGAAATGTGTTGGTAAAATGTAAATATTACTTTGAACCTAAATCTGCCAGGGTGTGAATTATGTGTTGCTTAACTGTAGGCGTGGGCCTCTGAGATTCTTGGAGTATGAAAGCATTCTGGGAGAAAACGCCACAGCGTCGCCATGTTAATAATGCAAAACTAAGAAATGAACAGCTGAATTAGTGTTTCTTAGTAGGGAGAAGGCTACGAGCAGCTCTGCACAGCAGCAGGTAAGGGAGGGACCAGGGTTGTGCTATTTAGGATACTCATAAAAACAAATATATAGTTTACAAGAACTGTTTGTATTAACCAGTGTGAACTCAGCAGTCCGTAGCAATAGGGTAACTCGGAGTCCTTTTAGAAACGAACCACCTAGCAAGCCAATTTGTTGAAGTTCACTTAACTAAATGGTTATTTCCGATTAACAGCCTCTTTAAAACACCGATTTAGTGCTCAGTGGAAACAACTGTGGAGACTAAACCGGGAGAAAGTTTAGGGAAAGACATGAAGAGGAGTGAATGTGGAGGAAGACCAATCAGAAACACTTCGAAAGCCCAATTAAGAAGCGGGGCCAGGCGAGTGTTTGTTTGTGGGCGACGAGCAACAGGATGCCTCACTGAGCACCACCATCCTAAAAACAATCCTCTCCTTTCTTTCTTTCACTCCTCCGTCGCCTCTAACTTTGGCCGATCGCCACACTGGCAAAAGGCTTGTGTGAGTGAGTGTTTTTTCTGTGTGTACCTGGGATCCGCACTTGAAATGCCCCGCCATGTTTGTTTTGCACTGTTTATTTTTGCTAAGCCCGACCCTCGCCGTCCCCTCCGGGCCTCCTCGTCTTATCCTCACCGAGGGGTTCAGGGGTTGATAGCATGAGAAATCAAACACTGATGGAAATGTCACCAACGAAAGTTTCCACCAGTGAAGCTCGGAGATCCCAGCTGAGACAACATGAGAAACGCGTTGCACGCGATACCCTACATAAACCTTTATCGTTTCATAAGAGGTTACATGAAAAAACTTTTTTTTTTTTTTTTTTTGGAGCAAAACTTTTGAAATCTCAAGTTCAAGATTTCACCTTCACGTCTTCAGAGTGTTTCTTTAGCGGGCTGTCTTGGAGAGATTTGTTGTGTTACTGTTGCTGGGACACAACCCTGGCAATAGACCTACACAAATAATAGCACAAAGTTAGCGACCAGTGCCTTTAATGGCCTTCATTTCTGAACAAACTGCACATGAGGAATATTGGGATCATTTAGAAGCAGGCACCGCTTTTTAAGAAATGCTCAAGTTTTTTTTTTCCTAATGCAGACTTGCTGACATTCACTTCTCTTCATGCTTTGGTATTCATACCTTTTGATTTTTCTGTTTTTTTGTTTATTTATTTTTTTTTTTTTTTTTTTAGAAAATCTGGGCCTCCGCACTACCCCACTATGATTTCACCTCTTCAAGGTCCCCCCACTCCCCACATGCCCGGTGTGCTCTGCTACGTCAGGATTTCAGGTGTTATGTAATTGTGTTTACTTGGTGATGGAGATAGGCAACACAAGTGAAGCCTGAACTAAAAAAAGAGGTGCTTTAGGGACTTGTTAAGAACTGTGGGAGTGGAAACACTCCCTTTGGTGTGTATTGTGGGTTTTGTACGTTTGCAGAGGGTTTACATGAAGAAAAAGCTTGACAACAAGCTGAAAGGTGAACTCCAACCAGCACTGGGCTGTTGTGGCATCTGAACCCTCTTTAAGTTGTAAGGCACAACAACCCATTATGATATCACTTTGTTTCGTGAGTCATTTTACAAAAGAAATTAGGTCAAAACACACAACAACACTTTACCGTAATGAGCTCCTTCAAAATAACTGGCTTCCCCTCCTTTTTGAATAATTCATTTTCAGGTTTGCTGCTGTAGGACAGATGGCAGGAAGGACAAGCAGACATATGGATGAATGGATTGACGGGAGGACAGACAAAAGGACTGATGAATTGAAAGACGGACAGATGGACAAATGGATGCATAGATGGATGGACAAACAGAATGAATAAATGAATTCTGATGATGAATGAACTCTTAGCGGTAAACGAGGAATAACAAATGGCTGTTTTCTCTGCTGAATATCAGAATAAACATCCATGATTTCTGTTTCTATAGAGCTGTTAACACTTACGGACCACTGTAAGAAAAGAATTACAAAAGCTAGCCCTGGATATTAGTTGTTCTTTTCATGTTGTTTGGAACAGTAAAGTTTTTAAATCACTACTTTTTCATTTTTCTTCACTTTCTAAGGTTGTTGTCACTCATTTTAAAGACCAAGTAAGGCCCGGATATTTATCTTCTTCTGTCCTTTTAAAGATAAACTACAATCTTGAATTAAAAGGAGGTGTCCTTACTTTTCACCATGACCGTATGACCCATTAAACGTCTTTAGAGTGCATGTTGACAGAGTCACATGGACCTTCCACTGAGGGCCTGCTCACTACAGCTGGCCGCTGTCCAATTTAAATTCACCTCTGGTCGAGAGGATCACAGAGCGCTGTCTGATGACGCATGAAGTCGTGTTTGGATCTGCAACGATCTGAGAGCACCGTGAGCGACTGCGTCGGCCTCAGAGAGGGGTACGAGCAGTTCATTAGTTATCTCCCCTCTGCCAATTTTGCCTCCAGGATTGGAAGCAGACACCTTGTGTGCTGGAAAACAGCTACAGCACACAATAAAGCACGTAGGCAAAGGCAACGTGAACTTTAGCCTGAAAAGCTTTTGTCCTCCACATGATGTGTATGTTTATGTGTGCATGAGTTGTGCAAGCTGCGCACTGGCTCCTGTGTGACTCCGAAAGCAGCAGAAAGGGACTTTTTGTTTGCTCCCATTCAGTATTTTTGTCTTTGTATAATCCTTCCATGTTTTGCAATCTCCTACTGTTTTATTTAGAAATTTCCCCAAATGAAAAGCCACACAACAAGAACTTCTTTTTAAGCTTAACATAAAATTGCAACATACAATAGAAAAGCTTAAAACTAACCTTTATTTCTTTATGCGGTGCGTTTAAAGACAAATTTCTTGTGGGTATCTGAAGTTGTCAAATTGATTCTTTGTTTAATTATTTTTAGCTGCAACACTCGTTTAGAGCCTGAACTTTACTATCGTTTTATGACTTAATAATTAATCTCTATACTCTAGATTGCTGATGAGTTACAGCCTTATTGTATAAACACACGCGTAGACACACGCACACACAAACAAAGGAGTGCATTCACACACGTTTGTACAGTGGTTTTCCTGTATAGAAGGAGCAGTGTAGGATCAGAGGAGTACATGCCCCCGCCTCCTCCGGCTTTCACCTAACATAAGGGGAACCTTGTAAAAACACAAAAACACCACAGTTTCCACTCGCATATAAACTTTAATGCTGCGTCTAATATTTCTTCCCCATGCACCCACTTCTGAGTGCATGCGAGTTTGTAAACTGTGACAGAACCTAAAAAAAAAAAAGAAGAAAAAAAATAGTGAATTAAATTAAACATCCTATAGCTTCCTTTATTCGACTGACTGAGCGCGGCTACAAAGCTGCAACAAAATAATCAAAACCTACAAAGAAATCCTACCTGGTGATGTATTAACAGGAAATAAGATGTACATTTCCTATTTTTAATATGTAAAACAAACATCTGTTTGTTTTTTTTTGTTGTTGTTTGTTTTTAATGGGAAAGTGTAGCCGTCTCTCCCCTACAGGCCCATATTTATACATACATCAGGAATAACTCACACACACTCCCCTCGCTGCAGTGCAGGCAGCATTGCGTCATGTTCTAGAAACGGCGCCTGCTCTGGCGCTCGGCTCTAGGCTTGACGGTGTAACTATGGCATTATGCAGCGCGCTGCATCATATCTGCTCCAACGGGCCTATCCCAAGCAAAGGAGGCTCGCAAACACGGCCTCTGACGCGCCGCGTGCAGCCACTTGCTTATCAGCCAACTTTCATCTTTTTTTTTTCTGTTAATGCCAGGCTATGAATAGGTCCAGGTGTCAAACTGTATTATTATATTTGGGTCATGCTGGGAATGATTTGTTGGGTAGTTTTTACGTTGGGTTCAAAGTATATTCCAAGAGTTGCTGACTCTGATATTTAAGATGTATTTTAATTAAACCATGTAGCCTTTTAAGTGATTATTATTTAAAACATCATTTAGAAAACTTTTAAGAAATGCGTTGCACTGAGCGGCCCTGAATGCACAGAACCTCTATGCAAACTGGACTTATAATGGCCTTCTTCTTCCTACTTCTACATGAGAAGTTCATTTCCTGTACTGTGTCCCTGATATCAAGCATTGACAAATCAGGGAGCAAACAATGCATGCAGAATCCACACACACACACACACACACACACACGCACGCACACACGCACACATATATGTATGTAAATGTGGCCAATCTTGTCATTTTTAACCTCTTTGACTGAGAAACAGACATCCTAAAAAAAAAAGAGCCAAGCTGTAATCTCCAAGAAAAAGATGACATTTAACTTCATCCTTTGCCAAATGTCAGACAATAAACTTCCAGAGGAGATCCAGCACTGACCAAACATATATTTTCACACAAACAAACAGAATACAGCTGACAAATCCACGTAGGTTTTGACACCTCTTTCCCCGTGCCTCGCCTCTCATTCTAGCCTTTCATTTTGCTGTTATTCCCCAACTCAACAATGCATTTGACTCTTTTTACCTACCAGCCTTTAATTACAGCTCATTCAGCCCACACAGAGCCTGTCAATGAATGCTAATAGGAAGGCACGGCGTGTCCATAACTCCTGCCTTCCACATTACGGACGTCATTAAACGCATCGTTAGGGATGAAAACACCAGTCGACTTCTGAGCATATTTTCTACAGTGACTGTTTCTAAACATGTCACCATAAACAACATGATATTGGCATGAAACAGACCTGCTAAGTTTGAGTGTTTCATCCCATTTTTCGCGACCTTTCTATTAGACTGGTTCAAAAGAGACGTACCAGAAGTGGTGACAGAGCAGATGAAGGAGGGGAAAAAAAGAAGACTGGCACTTACTTGTCTGACAATAGGTCTGCGACCAGCATCTGCCCCTGAAGTGGCCGTTGATGGTGGTCTGGGTGCAGAGGGTCTGGCCCTGTGCCGTGCCGGGACACACGTCTCCACACTCCCGCTCGTTCTTATTGGCCACGATGAAGTTGTCCTCCACCGAGTCCAGGATCATGGACCAGTCCAGAGTGGCCAGGTAGCACAGGTCTGGGTTCTTCTCTATCCTCACGGCGCCCCGGGTGATATTCATGAGGCTGTGCAGGCCCACCTCCTTCAGCTGCAGCATTTCGTAAATCACCAGGGCGTAGTTGAAGAACAGGTTGTTGCCACGGATCACCGTCAGGTTTGGGAAGAGGTCGCTGAGGGTCTCCAGGCCGTAGACCCTGAACAGGAGGACGTAGTCGGTGACCACTCGCAGCTTTGGGAAGCTGAGGCCCTGGAAGTCGGCGGACTTGGCCCCAAACATGAGCAGGATCTTCAGGTGGCCCTCGATGATGGTGCAGTTCTCCAGTGACCGGAGGTTGGTTACATTGTTCCTGATGTTCTTGCTCTGACAAACTGAATGGGGAGAAAAGAAAAAAAAAAAAAAAAAAAAGAAAAAAAATGTCAACCGTGTAACAATTTATGTAATCGTAACCAACTCAGAACTGATCTCATTTTTATCTATAATTTATTCAGGGATTCTACCACTTCTTTTTATCGTAACTCATAAATCACAGACCTGGTCAGGCTTTAAATACAGGACCTGTCAAACAACTACAACCTAAATTTAAAATGCAACAACTGGAGTATTTTGTTGCCATTTTGTTCTGATTTGCTTTAAGAGAAGGGAAGCCATTTGATTGGCCATCTTCATCTCTCCTAACCAACCAATAGTCTTCTTTCTGCAGAGAGTTAGTGACTATAATGCCCTCTCTGATATGAATGAAGCAGACATGAATGAGTTAACAGAAATGAAGCCTTGAAGCAAAGTGCTTATCCCAGCTCATTCATAATCTCTAGTCGCTGTACGCTGGAACACACACACACACACACACACACACACACACACGCACGCACGCACGCACGCACACACACTCATGAACATCAAATGCATGAGCCAGACACTCAAATGCATTACATATGAGGGAGACTTAAAGAACAGCCAGTCACTTACAGACAGATTAAAAAAACCAAGGTTACTTATTTTGCAAAATACAACACACACATTGCTGGGATGTGTTAGAGCAATCAAGGAAAAATGTGTTGGTTGGGGAAAATTCCTTGAAAGCTAAAGAAATTGATGTTTTTCTGTCAAGATTATGTGGAAGAAAAGTGAAAAGTTTGGATGAGATGAGGAAGAAATCAAATATCAAATATTCAGTTTTCCTGCTATTCTTTTTTTCTCTTCTTTCAAAACTCTCCCGTTTCTTCAGCAGTTACTTTATGGTCAATATCTAATAAAAAGCTACGAAACCATAAATACAAAATTAAAAAATTCTTCTGTCTTCTAAATCGGATGCAGGTCAAACAATATTACTGGCATACAGCAAACCTTCACATCTATTGGCAGCCTTGGTAAAAATGGGTGAAATTCTTTAAGTAAATCAACCTTTTATTTCACAATTATAATCTGAATATTTTTGTTCTTCTAATGTCTTGCACATAATAATACATTTTAACTAGTTTTAGAAATGTGAAAATACAATTTTACTGGCGAGAAAAGTGAAAACCTGTTTTAAATTATCTTAACCTCTTGATTGAAGCGTACCGTGAGTTTAACATGTTATTGTCTACTGTCAGACCCTTACTGCTGAACTTAAACTCACTCCCTATCTACAGTGAGAGCAATAATTAGGAAGTTTAAAATAACTGAAGCTGTGGAAAAAAGGCTGGACAGGGAACGCAGCTTATTTCACCACCACAGACAGTGAGAGTGGTAAGAGAGTTTGAAAACTAAAGTTCACAGTTTAAAGGACCGAACGTTCCATGGCGACATCATACTACTGCAATGAAATGGAGTTTTCTTTTAACAAATCTTGGCTATTAACCCTTTCGGTTATTGTTCCTTGGATTTACCGTTGATGAAACTTTTCTCTCCACACACAACGGCTTAATTGCTGTGAAGTTCCATTAGAAACAATAATAAAAATATTATACGTTCATGAAATGAACTAAATAACTTAACCTCTCCGACGCACCAAATTTTCAGAAAGATGATTTACATTTGTTTTCCAAGAATGCAATAACTGTTTCAAACAGCGGTGGCGCCTTTCAGAGCTAAAAGAACGACGGTATCAAGCTCTACCCTGGTTAGCACCCAAAATCGCAGTTACCTCATCAACTTAGATCACCTTATCTAACTTAATTGTTCACCATGTGTTGATTTTCATTTCACTGGAAACGTGTTAATATATAGTGCAGGAATACAATTTCTGTTTGGTGAGAATAACGGCATAAACAGAGTAGGAACACATTCAGGTATTGTTCTTCTTCGAGTCGTTTTAAAAATGCTTTTGCTTTCTCTTGCCACCCTGTGTGAAAATTATCCTTCACAGTGACTCCTGCAACCAAAGCCATTCGTACAAATCAGTCCAACAAAGTCGGTGTGCGACTTTACAGTCGATGAACATCCGGAGGACGCAAGTCGCTTCTAGGCTCTCGGTGAGGCACGTGACAAGTGTCAAAAATTAGTCAAAGAAATTGATAAAATGCCAGACTGAGAAAGTGTGCGTGTTCCAGCAGAGCTGTTATTGCCATTGATCAGCTCCAGGTTGAAGTCAGCTTTTCTCTTCCTCATTCTGTAAATGATTTGCCAGACATGCACAACAATCCAGGTACAAAATTCGAACCAGAAAAAGGGTCAATGAAAGACTTTAATTACTTCCTGCGGTGGCAAGAAGCCAGTAATCCCAACAATCTTTACTACAACTACGTGTTGGCAAGTAGGGTCAGTCAGCGCTCTGCGTAGACAGGAAAAATAAAAATCAAAACTTCATAAAGGTTAGAATAGAGTTTACTACATTTTAACAACACTGTGCCTGATGACACAACCAGGGCTACATCTGCTGGTGGTAAGAAAGGTTTAAAAATGTATGGCACGGGAAATACAAAATACTGCTGCTGTAATAAATTTCAAACACTGGATGAAATGCAACCTATTGCGCAGCCCTAAAATAACATTTAATCAGAGGCAACGTTTTTAAGTACCCAGCTGGCAACAGCTCGACAAACTTGGATACATTTCAAAGATCATAAGTGTTAACATTCGATGCAGAAGAGCCACAAAACAATCACTAATTAAAATAAGTTTTCCTATGGTTGGCTGGAATTAATTATCAGAAAGACTTTGTTTCCCCCCGTATTCATTAAACACATCAACACGTATAACTCCTACTTCTGTTGGTCTCTCAAAAAATAATTAGATCTCTAAAATCTATAATTAGACCAGCCACAATCTGGACTGGATTATCTTCATCTAAAAGTACAAGAAATGATGTGTCAGAGCTTTGTTTGGAGTGATTATAAAACCCAGGTTACCAATTTGAGGTGCAATCGGTTACGGGCCACAAAGTTACTCCAAAAACCTAAACTGAATGCAAGAATCAAGGATAAAACATAAGTAACAGAAGTTTACTGCATTTTTACAAATTCTGAATCTTTTGTCAATCGAATCTGTAAACTGAAACATTTTTTCAACACTCATTTTTTCTGACTTATCCTACTCTGGAAAATGATCTAAGAAAAGTCAAGACTTTTTGAGACTGTGTGTGAGTCCTGCAGGTCAGACCTCAAAGGAAATCAGCATCTGCCAGAAAAAGCCACGATTAGTAAAACCCAATCAAATCTTTTTACAAGTGCTGGCATGAACCATCCGGAGCATCACTGTCATTTCTTTCAGTCGCTATCAATTTGACAAAGTTGGAAAGCACACAACAGGGTTACGTTCAACAGATTTATTTAAATCCTCCCTCAGCAGCTCGCAGGGAAAAGCCAAATCATCCATTTCTCCCGATAAGCATCTCATAACATCTTAATCAGCACCAGCGGCTTGCCTCGGCCACGCCTTCCTCTTCCTTTATTGGATACTAACCGTATCAGGCACCAAAACACAAAAACACACTTCCTCTGCGTGGCAGCTGCCATTATTACCGGTGATAACAGCAACCTTACACCTTTTTCTACCCTGCCTGCCTTATCTGCTGGACACATCAAACAGGGCTGCAGGCCTCCTACTCACTGTCAGCTGCCGGTGCTAACTGGACGCCCATTGTGAAACACGACAACAAAACAAAAAAGGGGTTACGCAACAGCCAGCGGGGCCATGGCGAGAGAGGGGCCCCCTCAAGACGCAACAAGCGGACACAAACATAACCTTTTACGGATGACGTCTTTTGTGGAGGACAGGTTGGCGTTAGTGAGGGGAAGCAGACTGAGCTCAGTGAAAATGTAAAATGGAGTCTTCTTGACTGACAGGAGCAAAAAAAAAAAAAAAAAAGGGGGGGGGTTGGTTATCAGGGGGGAGATGTGAAAGAGCTGGGAAAAGGGGGGGGGGGCGGGGGCCC